CACTGCAGCCTGACAGTGGAAAGTGATTCTTCCATTTGCAGGGTCTGCTATAGGAGTGCCAGCAACCTGGCTTCATCTGCCCTAAACAAGGCAGATGGAAAAACCAAGGACCACTCCTTCTTCCTAACAGAACAGACTTTCCCACCCTTTGCACTTTCTCTGCAGAACTGCTTCACCAAATCAAAAACTCAGAGACTCATTTGAATGGCGTTTAACTCTAGGGCATGCACCACTGAACCAGATCCAAATCTATTACTTTTGATGGCAAAAATTGTAATTATTATTATTATTATTATTGAGATGGAGTCTCACTCTGTTGCCCAGGCTGGAGTGCAGTGGCGTGATCTTGGCTTGCTCACTGCAACCTCCACCTCCTGGGTTCAAGCAATTCTCCTGCCTCAGCTTCTCAAGTAGCTGGGACTACAGGTGTGCACTGCCGCACCCGGCTATTTTTTTTTTTTTTTTGCATCTTTAGTAGAGGTAGGGTTTCACCATGTTGGCCAGGTTAATCTTGAACTCTTGACCTCAAATGATTTGCCCACCTCGACCTCCCAAAGTGCTGGGATTACAAGCATGAGCCACCACTTCCAGCCTGTAGCAACTTGTGCACCAGTGGTTCAAAGCCTCATGCACTGCTCTGGACTCCACTTGAATTCATATGGAGACTAAAACTTTGTCTCTTCCTTTACCAGTCATGTAAGGAGTGAGGGGCTACAGATACAATGCTTCTCACTCAAGTCCCCCACCCCCCATCCCGCCCCACCTCCCAAAGGGTGAGAAGGGTTTAAGATCACAGAGATGGGAAAAACTTAGGAAACATATTACACACGTTATTAAAATAATGGCAGATTTTTAAAAAATTCTCACTTGGGAGAACAAATTAAACAAGAGGCAAAACCATTTTATTTTAAATCCTTCTAATGACAGTGTTCTGAATTGAAGGGTACACTTCTGTGCCTTTGTAAGCAGAAGATTCTGACATACACTTTCCTTTTCTTGGCAAACCAAGGCCATTGTTAGGAGCTTTTGTTAGCCTGTGGCAGCTCCTGGGTTTACTTGCCGGTTTCTCAGACCTGCCCTCAAAAGTCAGGATGGTGTCTCTGGCTTCTCCCGCATCCGGCAGAGTCCTTCCTTTCTCCTCTGCAGCTTCCAGTGCACTGTGAGTTAAGAAACCAGATAGCCAAACCCAGGAATTCTTTGTTAAACAAACTGTCTTGGTGGGGCTTTGATCCCTGGGGTTGGGAGTGAAATGGCTGGAAAGGCCTCCTTTTACCTCTATCTGGGCTAGTGCCTGGATCTATTGGGGGTGCTGTTTCTCTACAAAATGCAGTCAGAGTACATTTCAGAATTTTCAGTATCCACTTGGCCTGCCCATGACCCCCACCCTTGAGACTGTGAACAAGGAGGTCTGGGGCGATGCTGAGAATGTTTTCGAAGATGCTCCCAGATGAGGCTGATGTCCACATGAGTTGAGTGCTGCTGTCGCCTTGAGTCTAACCTCTGCATGAACGAGGTTGAACTGGAAGTCAGAATCTTAAAATGTCAGCCTCAGCCACATGTCATCTTTCTTCTCATAACCTCTTGGACAAACTCCTTTACTTCAGAAAACGAATTTCCAAACCACACACTATTTCATAGACCAAAATAGAGATTTTTATTTCTAAACACAAAGCAGATACATTTTTAGAAACATAAAACAACAGCAAAAACGTCAAACCATCTTTTAGAACACTGCTACTTCCAACTTGCACAAAAGGAAGGGGAGGAAAACGTCAATGCAACTTTAAAATATAGCACTAAGAAGAAACTCTGGGGTCCTGGTGTTCCTCCCTGGATGGCGGGGAAGGCTCCATCGGCTTTGGACTTGATATGAACCGAGATAACACACACATGTTCCGAGACAGTCGTTTGGCTCCAATACTGCTCGCCTTCCCAGAAAGCTTAATTTATTGCAAATGCATGTTTTACCATCACAAATAATATGACAAGAGTAGATATGGTCCCTCTGCGTATTGTTTACATAATAGAACATTTAAAACAATGGAATGAGTTTGCCTTTGACATCAAAAATCATTTATGCAGCATCTACATGCACATATACACACAAAAGTGTGCACGCATACACACGCACACACGCACAGACACACACACACACACACCCCATGCCATTGCTTGGTCCACATTGCATGAAATACACCATTCCAGCTACTTGAACAGGTCAGTATCAGGTCCAGGTCTCCAGGTACAAAGGGTGAAGTGAGTTTGCTCACATAGACTTAGCTTAGGGTACAGTGAATTTGTAGAGTGAACTTGTTTATGAGGACCGCGTTTATGCGGAGGTTGGACTTAAGGCGATCGCAGCACTCAATCTCGTGTGATTATCAGCATCATCTGGGAGTATCTTCAAAAACATTCTCAGCATCGCCCCAGACCTCCTTGTTCACAGTCTCAGGGGTGGAAGTCATGGGCAGGCCAAACTCACTCTACCCCACCTGCTGCATCCAGGATGGGTTCTTTTTTTTTCTTTTTTTTTCTTTTTTGACAGCCTCACTCTGTCGCCCAGGCTGGAGTGCAGTGGTACAATCTCGGATCACTGCAAGCTCCGCCTCCCGGGTTCACGCCATTCTCCTGCCTCAGCCTCCCAAGCAGCTGGGACTACAGGCGCCCGCCACCACACCTGGCTAATTTTTTGTGTTTTAGTAGAGACGGGATTTCACCGTATTAGCCAGGATGGTCTCGATCTCCTGACCTCGTGATTCGCCTGCCTCGGCCTCCCAAAGTGCTAGGATTACAGGCGTGAGCCACTGCGCCTGGCCCAGGATGGTTTCTGAGGAGACATGGGGCCCTCCCATGGGAGGGATGACAAATGAAACTAAAAAATCTATCTGGGTGGATGCCCTTTGGAATGAGGGCTCTGGTCTTTTGGACTTGAAATGGAGGGAAAACATAATCATTCCTCCAAAGCTGGTATTGGAAACTTGCCATTTTTCCTCACACACACACAGAACGAGAGAGAGAAAGGAGAAAATTTAGGACCCATAGAATTAAGCCCTCTTTCACAGCAGGTTATCTGCTATCCTGAGAAAAAGAGAGGGCATCGTTTCTAAACCAGCCCAAGGAAATTCCCAGATGACACAGATCTAAGGGGTCATCTGACCTTCCCTTCTTTATGGAGAATGCCAGGGAGAGGCATAAAACTCTGGACCTCGGGGACAACGTCCTGAGCCCAGTGCGGTCTCCCTGGGTTCAGAGAGACCACAGGCTGGGGTCTGTTGTGCTGAAGCCCAATGCTGGAAGCCAGGGCTGCCCAGGTGTGCTTCTGCATGGAGATGTGTGTGTAGTACCCGCACAGGCTATGCTGACATGCGCGTGCACCCTCCCACACCGCCCACTCCCTCACACGCACACACAGCTTCCTCTGTCCGCTTCCTCCTCCCCAGTAAAACTTCTGGAATATGCACAAGCGACTGCCTCCTTGTTTCTCCCATGAGAGGAATTGGAGCTGCTCAGCAGGCAGAGACCACACAAAGCCAACTCTACCCTCTGCCTGCCCCCCCAAGCGCTGGCCTGTCCGTGCTTTTCCAGTGGGAAGGTAGACAGACAGTGGGTGCCTGCTCCCATCCCCTGGGACCTCATCCTGATGTTGCCAGCTCCCGTCAGCGGTAGGAGTCAACAGACTTCCCCGCGAGAGTGGGCACAAGCCCTACTGCCCCTGCTTTGGAATGTCGCCCTCCAGCGAGCTCACCAGCTGCCAGAGTGACAGCAGCCCGCAGCCTGCAAAGGAAAGGAAAGCAACTGAGGCCCAGGGAACATTCCATAGAGTGGAGCATCGGGCTTGGAGTCAGTCTTGCCTGGGTACAAGTCCCACATTTACCACTCACCCCCTAGCTGGCTGCTCTGAGGCAGGCTGCTGACCCTCCGCACTCTGGTTTCTGTACCTGGTTTCCGATCATGACTCCATAGCACACAGGCTTTTTGAAAGTGTCATGACCATATTGCAGGCCCTTGGGGTATGTCTCCTTCCCTCTCTTTCTCATCCGAACAGGAAGACGGGCCGTAGGACTTTGTCCCTCATCTCCACAGAGGTGCTAGGGATGGGCTGGCCGGGTGTTCCTGGTTGCTGAGCTCAGAAGCAAGCATTTCAGAAAGGAAGCCCAGGGTCTTCAGGGGAAACTGAGGTCCTTCCTTGTGATTGCTGTCTCCCGGCTGGACAAGGTGGTTGGGTTGGGGATGGTGTTACCATGACAACCGGAGAGCAGGCGCTGGGAGATGCTGAGTCCCACTGACTGTGTTTTAAGGCCCTGAACATCCCGCTGAACCACTTGCTTTTAAACCCCGAGCCTGTGTTTTAATGTTCTTTTAGAAACAAATTCCTCCTTGTTCTTACTTTGAAAAACAGAAGGCGTTTCTCTCATACACAGAAGCTAAGAGAGAAATGACAGCTGGTTTTAAGTCCTCTTTGACTCTGGGCCTCTGCTGAAGGAGCCTGCAGGCACTGGCAATTGGGTGATGAGGGCCACCTGTGGGGTGCCCACACCCACTTTCCCTTTCAAAGCCTCAATTGTCTGCTAGAAAACAAAGGGCTGGCCTGGAAAGGCTCAGAGATCCTCATTTTCCAAGATTTTCACCCAGGAGCTTCTCAAGCTCAAGAAGAAACGAAAGCAAATATGCATTGCCTAAGCTGAATCCAAACACAAAGAAAGTGTTCAAACGCTTAGCCCTGGGTGCTCACGGCCAGGACAAAGACGGGAGGGGCTGTTCCCGCACAAAAACTCTAGCAAGCAGGGCAGACCTAGTTGTCGGTTCCCAAGTCTTACAGGAAGAATGTCTACAATGCCTTTGGGTAGACCTGTAGGACTCGGGGACCCCTGAGACGAGGTGGCAGGCCATGGTGGCAGGTCACTCTCACGCTGCAAGGATGATGCCTTCAAGTTCCGCATAAGGAGCATACGGCCAAGGCATGGAGGGCCAGGACGAACCCCGGTTTTTTCCTCCAACTGTAGCAGAGAGAGCTAAGTCCCACTCCAAGCCACCCTACCCTTCATTCTTACTAGGAGGCCCCCATCTTTTTGGGTGCGTGTTCCCAGACTCCTTGCAGATGTGGGGAAAACATGTGACACCGTCCTGGCCAACGAGATGAGAACCGAAGTGGCTGGTGGAGCTTCTAGGAAAACTCCTCATGAGGAGGGCAGATTCATCTAACTCACTCCCCTCCTTCCTGCCTGGAACCCAGATGAAAAAGTGGAGGTACAGCAAGCATCCTGGGCCATTAAGTGACTGTGATATAAAGGAAAGAGAGTTGCAAAGCCTTGGCTCTGACATCCACAAGCTGAGGAGACGACACCAGTAACCGCCTATCTCTAGACTTCTCAGGAGGAGAGAAAAGTAAAGTCTCTCATTGGTTTAAGCCAAAGTTGGTCGGGGGAGGAGGGATTCTGTTACTTGTGGCTGAATCTAGGGATTTCTCTTCCAGATGTGAGCCCACCTGCACCCTCCTAGAATACCTAATATTTTAAGGAGCACTAGACGTTCCAGGACTGACTTCCCTCCTTATCATTAGGTGTGGGGAGGTGGCAAGGAACTGGCCCAAGGTCACACAGCCCATCAGCAGCGGAGTTCCAACTCAACCCTGTCTAGTGCTGAGCAATGTTACCCTGTCATCCAGAGGGTGCAGAGACTGACCCCCACTCCTGGAACTAACTCCCCGAGCTCACTGGCCAAACAAGAACTGCTGAGGTCTCAGAGTCCTAACCTGTAAAATGGGTACAAAGTTGGAACAAGAGAGTCTATGGAAGCCCTCCACCTCTGACAGTCTAAAAAATCCAGGTATCCTCCTTCAACAGAGAACTTAGCATTTCCTAATCCATTTTGCCTCCCCTAAAAGTCCTACCTGGCAGTTCATCCCATTGTCTGCTTTCTGGGGCTAGTTTGTCTCACCCAAGTACTAGATGAAGGAAAAGTGATTTTTGATTGGGAACATCCTAATTTTAACATACATTCAAAAAAAAAAAAAAAAGAAAAAAAAGAAAAAGAAAAAAGAAAAGGAGACCAGAATTGAGAGCTTTCCGAGAGGGCTGGTACAGGTGTACGGATGTCAAACAGGCTTTGCTCACATGCAAATATGATTGATTGGCAGCTGCTTGGAGTGGTTTTGAGGACTGTGACGTTCATTGGGCTGAAGAGTAGGGTGTGGGAAAGGTTGGTGATCAACTACTGATGTCTGTCTTGGAAGCAGCAAGGGCTGTAGTTGCCCACACCTCCCTCCAATGCTGACCTAGACTGGTGACAATCAGATTGGGGTGAGAATTGGCTGAGTCCCCATGAGAGAGGGAATGAGGGCAGGATCCCACTGGGCTATGGACACAGAGGCTCCCTGGCGATCACTGCAGACACCAGTGAAAAATACTCTGATTACAGAATCCAAAGGAAGCCTCTGGCATCTCAGGCTCACAGCCACAGGCACAGCCTCCCTGGGGGTCCTTCAGCTCCCCTCCTCTAGGGAGAAATCCTAGGCAGGGGGCAGGAAAGGGCAAGAGATTATCCTTGAGCATGGACATGTTGGTCACTGGGATGTACATGCCAACCCAGACAATCCCCAGTGGGGAAAAATGGGCTTCTCAGTTTGGCATTTCCAACCACACATTTTTACCAGGAAGACAGACTAATAATTGGGCTAGTAATGGAAATGACAATCAACATCCACTGCCTTAGCCTTGGGCCCCACCTTGAAGCCTCCAGGAGCCTCCCAAGCTGTGTTGTTCTGAGACTCAGCACAGCCCAGCATCCTTCTGACCTCCTGAGGCCGAGTCAGTCTATTTTCCCCTCCTTCTGCCATGCCCAGGTCCTCTCCCTGCCCAGCCAGGCTGCCCTGGCCGCCTTGACCCATTTCCTCTGCCCGGCATGGTTCATAGTCATGATGGTGGCCTCCAAGAGGCAGCAAGACACTCTCATGCCCTGTCCTGAGCTCTCCCACTGTCTGCCCCGTGTGACTCTTCCAGTTTCTGTGAAGTGGGCCTGCCCCCTCTGGAGAGGCAGATAGGCAAAGTCAAGGGCAATGACCGCAATCCAGATGGGCATCTTCAATGGCACAAACCCTTTTCTTCATCTGCGAGCACCCTGAGGGCAAGGACTGGGCTTTGCTCACCCCAAATCTCCCAGCACAAAGCCTGACACAGGCTGGAGAATGCTTGTTGCATTGGATTAAGATGCAAAGAGGCACAGGGCACGTCTGCCCACCAACCAGAAGAGAGAAAGCTGCAGACCCCGGACAGCATCCAAATGGCCAGTGGGAAGGCAGGGCCAGTGAGCACCTGGTTTTTTGTTTTGTTTTTTTTTGGGGGGGCCACAGCTGGCAGGCTCCTGGCCTCCCCTGAGCCCGGTTGACACAAATTTCTGCGATGTCCCTCTTCCCATTTCTCTTTCCTTCTCTCCCTCGGGGACTCCTGCACTAAGCAATCCTCAAGCTGCTCTCTTCTCCCAACCATCTCCCGGGTTCCCAAACTTTCAGACGGCATGTGTTTTCAGGAAGAATACTGTATTGGGAGCAAAACCAACATAGAGTTGGCAACTTTTTATTTTGTCCAATGAGGGCTCCCAAAACACAATAGAAACCATCAAAGAAGACAGAGCTACCTTTATCCATTCCTCATTTCCTAAAGGCCATTGAGCACCCTTGAAGTAGGAAGAACATAATTCTAGAATGAAGAGTCAGCATTTGGGTGAAATAAATCCTATAGAAAGAAAAACTCAAGGCGTTCCCTCATATTGTTTCACTCGCCTTTGGTCAGTGAAAGCCACGAGTGCTTGTCCTTGGAGGAAAGTTGGGAACCATGAAGGTACAGCCTGCCATTCCCATTCTCTTCTTCTCTCTCACTATCCTTCCCTCCCTCCCTCCCTCCTTTTCTCTCTCTTCTCTCTCTCTCTCTGTCTCTTTTGCTCTCACTCTCTCTCTCTCTCCTCTCATCCTCAAATTGTGGTAAAATAAACATAACATAAAATGTAGCATCTTAACCACTTTTAAGCACACAGTTCAGTGCATCAAGCCTGACATCACCTCTTGCCTTTGACTCCCTCCGGCCCACTTCCCTGTCTGCCCTCTCCAGCCAGACCAGCATAAAGTGCAGGTCCCCAAAGCTTCTGCAAAGCCTCCCGTCCTCCCAGTCAGGCCTGGCTCCAGTCTAATGGAAGAGTTAAGATCCCCTCTTTATTCCCTAACTGTGGGCAGCCCCAGCCTCCCATCCCCTGCAAAGCAGGGCAGGATGATGCCACCGTCCCCGTTTGCCAGCAGTAAAATCCATTAGGGAACCCCCGGTTAGCACAAACTGCCCACCTTCAGGCCTTTTTCTGCCCTCTGCCTGTCATTCTCTGTGGCCCCCAGGCTGCAGAGGGTCCCCAGCTTCCTTCCCCTGAAGCTGCCCGGAGACAAGCATCTCTGGACCCCTGGTCCCTGCAGGGAGCTCCAGCCACCTGCCCGAGGCAAACGGGGCCTGAGAGATGGAATTGGGTCAGGTCATCCATGACCCATTTCCTCTGGAAGGGAGTTGGGTGTCAGGAAACACATTTGACTTTGGGTTTTTAATGTAATTCAACAAAGCACAGCCGAAGCTCTTATCCTGTGCTGGGCATTGGGGGTGTGGAGTTCTGTCATTCATGACTGAGGACCTCATCGTGAGACATTAGAGGGGCTCATCTTCCAGGTGAGCAATGTGAAGATAATGATGGATGGCCCAGGGGAATGTGCTGCTGGTGGCAACTCATCTCAGAGCTGAGGGCCAGTCCCTCGGGGAAACATATGGATGCTCCACTCTGGTCATGTCCCAGGCAAGCTGATGGGCAGGGAGTTCTGCCTGCTTGCCCAGGGAACTCCATTCCCAGAGGCTACAGAGACTGCAACCTGGTAGAACCGGCCTCAAGCCCCCCTCCAGCCTGGGCTTTGGGGTCCTCACTGCCCCATGTTGTGGGTTTGGACCCACTTCAGCATGAGCAAGGGCCTTTATAGGCCTCAGTGTTCCATCTCAAACATGGGGGTAAAATAGTATCAAACCCTGGGGGCAGGTGTCCGTGGGGGAATTACACAAAGCGAGGCTGCAAAGTGCCACCCAAGGGGGTCACGCACCCACGAGCACCAAAGGGAGCACGTTCTTTGTCTCCCTTGTCAGTGTTCCCTCTGTCCTGCCACCACGGAGCACCTCCCAGGGTCCTGGCTTCGTGTGCTGTCAGTACTTGCTCATCCCACCCCCTCCCAGCTCTTCTTTTTAAACACCCTCTGGGTGCTGCCTGTGCCTTTCCACATACAGAAAATGGGTTAAGAAAGGGGTGGGAGGGACAGGTAAGCAGGGATAACTAATTCATCAACCGACCCACTGGTGGCTCTCTCTCCCTCCTCCCCTCCCCTCCTGTCTCTCTCTCTCTGACACACACACACACACACGCACACACACACCCTGTGTTGGGCCATCAGAGTACCAATTCTTATAAACTCTAAGACCCCTTTCATTTTGGAGACAGATGAACAAGACACACACACACACACACACACACACACACGTGCCACAGCGCCACCTTTTCAGGCAGCACCTTAAAGCTCTGCATGGCTGTTAAAGAGGCTAGAAACTAAAGTCATAAGAACAATCAATCGCCTGGCTCGCCTTTAAGCAAAGGAGATTGCACTTGTGCTTGGAAGCACCAGTAATTGGGCTGTTACGTCATATTACAAGTATATTTATAAGAAAGTACTGAAAATAGCAATTCTTTTTTAAAAAACAGTTATGCAGACAAGCAGACTTGATGGCATCATTATCAAAATTTTAAAAATATAGGTAGATATCCCCACCCCTGCCCGCATGTTCCAGCTTCTCCTTCCCCAGTATGTGGTATATGTGACAGGCTGCACACATGCCCGGTGGCTGTTTTGTTCCTGTAGTTGCCGACACGCAGAAATCACACCACAGTGAGCAGGGCACCGCCTGAGGGCCGTGGGGCCAGTTGGGCTCTGGCCTTGCTGCCTCTCACTGTGTGGCCATGGATCAGTTTCTTCCCCATTCCGGGCCTCAGCTTTCTCACCTGTGACATAGGAGAGCAGAAACCTGGCAAGCCCCCCGCACCACAGCTCTGACTTCCAGGACTGGACATCTGTGCACGGCTGCCTGGGCTCGCTCAGCCCCTGGTTTTCCAGTAAGATGGTCGCCTGCAGAGAACGGCCCTCTGGCTTGGTTTCCAGATATCTGGGGAAAAGTGTGCTTTCTCTTCTTCTGTGAAATCACGTATTTCTCCAGATATTTGGAAACCAAGCCACAGGGTTGTAGGATCCACTTTTTGAACTTTTCATCCCCTGTAGTTGCCAATGCTGCATGTACTGGTCCTGTAGAAATAAGTTAAACTGAAGCAACTTGAGGGAAGGAACTTGATGGAAGGATGGAGCGTCCACAGGGCTTGTTTTCCAGAGAAAAGTATTGTTTGGAGGAGCAGAATTATAAGCCTACAGCTTATCATAAAGCTGTTCAAAAAAAAAAAAAAAAAAATGGCCAGGCATGGTGGCTCATGCCTGTAATCCCAGCACTTTGAGAGGCTGAGGCGGGCAGATCACCTGAGGTCAGGAGTTTGAGACCAGCCTGGCCAACATGGTGAAATCCCGTCTCTACTAAAAATACAAAAATTAGCTGGGTGTGGTGGCAGATGCCTGTCATCCCAGCTATTCGGGAGGCTGAGACAGGAGAATCACTTGAACCTGGGAGGTAGAGGTTACAGTGAGCCGAGATCACATCACTGCACTCCCGCCTGGGCAAAAAGAGCAAAACTCCATCTCAATAATAATAATAATAACTCAGAGCCAGGCTTGTGGATGGAAATATACTGCCCAAGTCACATTCTGCTTAAAGCTATAACAAATATAGGAGAGTTAAAAGAAAAACAAAAGTATGCTTTCTGAGTCAGGCCCGAGGGCTCTCCTTGGCAGCACGCGTTTCCTGCCCGTGAATATCCTGGTTGCCAAGGGCCGGGGCTCCCAAGGGCAGAGCTCACGGTGAAAGGCCAAGGGTCAGTGTGTGTGAGACAGCAGTGGTGCTGGGCGTCAGGCCCTCTTAGGGCCTCAGTTTCCTCTCTACTTAAAGGGCCTTTCTGGGTCTATAATACCTTATGATTCCAAAGCCAGATAGAAGTCCAAGGAAATCCCCTCTGAAGCTCCTATTTGTAGTTGAACAGACAAAATCCATTTGTAAAGAGTGGGCATTAAGTATTTTTTTAAGGGGAAAATTTAGTGTTGATTTAGGACAAACATGATCCAGTTGCTAAGCACTTAGGAACCATCCCAGAGTTCCCTGGCAAGGAAGGGATGAGTTTCTGGCCTTGGGAACTCACATGGAGTCACCGCAGCCCCAGCTCAGGTGGTGCATGGAGCCCAGCTCGCCTACACCTGGCTGGAGAGGGCCTGGTTTGGGGTGGCCTGGGCCCTAGTCCCATATGAGAATGCCTGTGAGACCTTCTTGGCCCCGTGGACCTGCTGTCTCCAGAGTCCTTTCTGGGAAGGGGAAGGAGAGCCCTTGAGACAGGCCGAACTCCAAAGCAGATTCTCTCACCTCTGTCCTGGACCCTCGATCCCTGGCCCCTGGCATGGCAGACGCTTCCCTTCTGTCCTGCAGCTTGAGCTCTCGATGATGAAAACTCAGTCCAAGAGCGACAGAGGAAATGCATCTTTCCTGGGCACTGCTAGTGGATGCTGCTCACGGAGTGTGCCTCACCATTCTGCATGGAAATCTTAAAAATAAAGCCTGTCTTCTTCCCTTTCCCCCTGAATGAAACACACAGCACAGGATCTCACCGTTTCACGGGGGCTCGGTGTCATCACCAGGGACAGTCCTCACAGGTCTGTGTGATCAGAAGCCGCTGAGAGCCGGGGTTAGGGGTCCCGCACGCGATGCCTCCACGCGGCTGTACTTTCTTAGTTCGGGGATCTGCTCTCTGCAGCTCTTCTTTTTCTCCCTTGATATCACTCTGTCACTTGTCACTGCTATCACTGTTCCTGCCTCTGGTCATTGCCATTTCTACTTCTCGTACGTGGCAGCTACTCTCTGTGGTTGTTAAAACTAGACAAGCATACTTGTTCTCATTATGCATAAAGCCAGAGTCGCTGGGCGCCGAGTGAGGGTCTGTGCCGCTCTTCTGCATTGCAGCTCAGAGGCCTTTCATTACATCTGAGTTCTGGGATTGGCTTTGGAGAGGAGGCTGCCATGAAAGTGACAGGTTATTGTTCTTGCTTTCTAGAGTTGACTGCAGACCAAGTCAACAATACCACAAAATCCCATTGGAGGGAGACACTGCTAGGAATTTTCCCAACTCCAAATAGACCTCATATATGAAACTATACATACTGAGCATTTACATACAGATCATATAAAAATTCTAGACATTGTTCCCTAGTCACATGTAGTACACATTTGGTATAAATAGACTAAGACAACACTGTATAAAAAGTAAGTCTGTTCTGGGAATGCTGACACAGCACTGATATGGATGCAGCTCTGCAGTCTTTGGCCTGCCCCTGTTTCCAGTTTCCCTGGCGGGCATCCTCAGGAGGGGCCCTGGGACTGCTGGAGGTTGGAGAACAAAGTCACCTGTGTGCCCCAGTGGATTAGGTGGGTGGCGGGCCATTGTAGCGCAGCATGAGCGTGAAGGAGCGGGCGAAGTTGTTGGCCAGGGTGCAGCTGCGGTCCTCTTCCCTGATGGGGAGCAGGAACAGCAGGAGGAGGAACAGCAGCAGAAGCAGCTGCAGTGGGAGCGCCACACAGCACACCCTCCGGAAGAGGGAGCCCAGTCCTCGCCACCGCGGAGTCTGCGGAACCAATACAGCACAGGTGAGTGGGTTGGGGGACTCTGGGGGTGGGGGGCAGGTTCAGGGGGTGAGGAGGATGCCAGGAGCGGCGATGGCACTGAACTGACTGTATGACAGTACATGTCTCCATGTTCTCATCGGTGAAATGGGGCTAATGTAAGTTTTGCCAGAAACAAAGGTTTCTGCAGTTTTCCCAAAGCATTCAAGGCATGAAAGGAAGAACAGAAAATACAGTTGCAGGCTCTGCCATTGTGACATATATCTTTGCCTGGTGTAGCAGAGGGCTGGCTGTGAATCCTAAGGTCACCCGACTTCTCTGAACCTCAAGTTTCTCATCTACAGATAGAGGCAGTAATGGTACCTACATGACAGAGTTGTCATGAGGATCCAATGAGGCAGAGCCTGGCACATAGTAGGTATGTACCAGCTGCTGTCATTATTAGTACGCACCTTAATATTGTCACCATCTAAATCATCGTCATCACCATCATCACCACCATCCAGTTCACCATCATCACTTTCTTCCTCCTGTCTGTCTTCCCTGTTCTTTCTTCCTCCTGTCTGTCTTCCCTGTTTCCTCTTTCTCCTCCCCCTCTTCCTTTTCTTTTCTTTTCTTTTTCTTTTTTTCTTTTTTTCTTTTATTGAGGTGAAGTCTCACTCTGTCACCCAGGCTGGAGTTTAGTGGCGTGATCTCAGCTCACTGCAACCTCCACCTCCCAGTTCAAGCAGTTCTCTCCCTCAGCCTCCCAGGTAGCTGGGATTACAGGCGCCTGCCACTACGCCCAACTATTTTTTTTTTTTTTTTTTTTAGTAGAGATGGGGTTTCACAATGTTGGCCATGCTGGTCTTGAATGCTGACCTCATGATCCACCCTCCTCAGCCTCCCAAAGTGCTGGGATTATAGGTGTGAGCCACCACGCCCAGCCCCTCTCTTCCTTTTCCTCCCTCTCCCCTTCCCTCTTCTCCCCTTCTTCCTCCTCCTTCTTTTATTTCATCATCAATTTCATCATCATCACCATCGCCATCAGTATCACATGAAGGTCAGTCTCACAAGTCCAAATGCCTAAGGGACTTCTCTGCTACAATATCCCTGAAAGTGGTCAAGAAAACATTTTCTAAATTCTGGAGGGACTGGCCAGGTTGTGGCTTCATGGATGTCTGACTGCCAAGGAGTGCAGGGAAAGAGCTGGTCACTCAGAAAAGTGAGGCCCTCATGGTCAAGATGCTGCAGAGTGCAGGATGAGCCCAGCTTTTAGGATCCTAGCAGACCAGGTCCCCACCCAGACTCTGTTACTCAACAGCTATGTGTCCTTGGGCAAATCAATATTGGATCTTCTGTTTCCTGCTCTGCAAAATGGGGATCAAACACCTACCCCTATTTGCTGGGCTGTGGTGAGGGCTCAAAGCAAAAGTATATTTATGCCTCGATTGATAAATGTACCAGTTCTTACTATTAGTACTATTAGTAATTATTTATAATAATCGTGCTAGCAATTAGTAACTGTTAGTAACATTCATTACTATTAATATTAGTAATCATAGCACCAGTACTATTATCATAGAATATATGTGCTGGCTCCCTGGAGAACCAAGGTTCACCCTCCAGGACACCAAAAGCCACAGTCCCGTGATGATGATAGTGATCGTGACCATGGTGATGGAGGTGAGGGCAATGATGACAGTGATGCTTGATGATGGTGGTGATGGTGATAATGATCATGACGCTAATGGTGGTAGGGGTGGGGGTGGGGTGGTGACAGTAAGGTGGTGATGATGGTGATAATGACCATGGTAATGGTGAAAATGGTGATGATCATGGTGATGTTGGCGATGGGGATAGTGGTGACTGTGATGGTGATTGTAAGTGTGAGTGATAGTGATGATAGTGATGGTGATGATGGTGATGGTGGTGATGACAGTGATGGTAGCGGTGGTCATGATGGTGAGAGTGATGGTGGTAAGGATGATGGTGATGGTGATGGTGATAGTGATGATGATGGAGGTAGAGATGGTGGTGGTGGTGATGGTGAGGGTAATGGTGGTAAGGATGATGGTGATGGTGATGATGATGGAGGTAGAGATGGTGGTGGTGGTGATGGCGAGGGTAATGGTGGTAACGATGATGGTGATGGTGATAGTGATGGTGATGATGATGGAGGTAGAGATGGTGGTGGTGGTGATGGCGAGGGTAATGGTGGTAAGCATGATGGTGATGGTGATGATGATGGAGGTAGAGATGGTGGTGGTGGTGATGGTGAGGGTAATGGTGGTGAGAATGATGGTGTTGGTGATGGTGGTGGTGATGGTGATAGTGATGATGATGGAGATACAGATGGTGGTGGTGGTGATAGTGATGATGATGGAGATGCAGATGGTGGTGGTGATAATGGTGAGGGTAATGGTGGTAAGATTGATGGTGTTGGTGATAGTAATGATGATGATGGAGGTAGAGATGGTGGTGGTAGTGATGGTGATGGTAATGGTGGTAAGGATGATGGTGACGGTGATGGTGGTGGTGATGGTGATAGTTGTGATGGTGATAGAGGCGAAGACGGTGGTGGTGGTGAAGGTGAGGGCAATGGTGTTAAGGATGACGGCAATGGTGGTGGTGATGGTGGTAGTGGTGGTAGTGACGGTGAGGGTGACGATGGTGATGAAGAAGCACTGTTAAATGCAAATGTTCCTGGGAGGTTCTAACCTGGGCAGTTCTGTCTCTCTACCTCTCCTCTCTGAGTCAACTCATGTATTCCCCTGCTCCAAGTATCTCCTCCAGATGATAACACTTAACCCTGTGCCTGCAGCCTCAAATGTGTTCACTCGCCAAAGTCCTTAAACACTGATTTTATAAAACAGGCTGCTTATAACAATGAATAAGTACTCTTGGCTGCATGTATTTCAGCGGTGACTTTGGGAGTGGAGGGTAGGGGGTGACACATTGTTTAAGCAGCTGAATGAGTGTGAGTTCACAGAGAAGGTGGCTCTTCCCACAACTGCTGGGCTGGGTGGAGCCAAATCTCTGACACATGTGACCCATCCAGGGAGAGAGACAATGAGCAGCATGGCCACCCAGTCTGGGTTTTCACTGCAACTAACAGCCTGTAATTAAGGATCTCCCAAATGGAGGGTCTGCTTACAAGTGTCCTTTTTTATTTGCCCCTCCATTCTCAGAGCTAACACTTTGCTTATTCAAGAGAGGGGTTGTGCCTTGGCCATGATCCTCTGGGAAAAACGTCTTTGAAGGTCCAAAAAGTGTTTACACATACAAGTGTTGACAAGGGGTGGTCTTCTCAAAGGATTCCTGCAGCCTGCCCAGTGCCTGTTTACTTAGAGCTCACATCCTCACTTAAAGGTCCCTGGATTCCAAAATGCTCTTAAAAAAAGACACCTTTCAATATGTTTCTAAACGCTTAGAAACACATACACACATACGCCCATACAAACACAGACACACACACACATACAACCCTCTAAGAAGCCAACAAGAAAAATGACAATCTTGGCTTTTCCAAAGAGAGAAAGGGCTTCCTCAGGAAGTTATAAGCTCCCCATCGGATATGGTTTGGCTGTGTCCCCACCCAAATCTCATCTTCAATTATAGTTCCCATAATTCCCATGTGTTGTGGGAAGGACCCAGTAGGAGATAATTGAATCACAGGGGCAGTTTCCCCCATACTGTTCTCGTGGTAGTGAATAAGTCTCACAAGATCTGATGGTTTTATAAGGGATTTCCCCTTTCACGTGGCTCCCATTCTCTCTTGTCTGCTGCCATATAAGACATGCCTTTCTTCTGCCATAATTGTGAGGCCTCCCCAGCCACATGGAACTGTGAGTTCATTAAACCTCCTTTTCTTTATGAATTACCCAGTCTCGGGTATGTCTTTATCAACAGCATGAAAATGGACTAATACACCATCCCTGAGGGTAGGGAAGCAGGGGTCAATGAGCCCATGGGGGTGGGGAGGGAGTAGAGGAGTTAACATACTCATCAGAGGCTCTGACCAAGAGTCCTCCAAGGTCTTACATGATGATCCTGAGACTCCAGATTTCTGAGGATCACAGGCTAGAGTTCATCACAGTCCATGAGACCTAATCTTCTACCGTTGGTGAAATGGGATGTGGGGAAAATAAAAAGTTTGGAGTCTTGGGTTCTAACCCTGACTCTACCACTTCCTAGCTGTGTGATCTAGGGCATGTTGCTTAGCCTCTCAGAGCCTCAGTTTCTTCTCTGTTGGGAGACAGTGACACTTGCCTACCAATGTAGGAAGGATACATGAAGCAACGCATGCTATGCATAAAAGGCACAGTAGGCACCCAATAAAGGCTCACTTCCTTTCTCCTCTGGCTGATGGGTGTGGGGCAGAGGGGCAGCTCCTGCAAGTCCCACAAGCTTCCCCTCCACCAGGGATGCAGGGATTAGGCACCATCATCACCTTCGGTCCCATCAGGGAAGAATGCACTGCCCTCCTTAAATGCCATCTCTCAGCTCCTTAAAGACCCTCACGTCTTATTGCCGCAGGGCCTTTGCACGGGCTGTCCCTTGTGTCTGGAATGCTCATTGCCCTTCTTTCTCCACTCCACCTGGTTAGTGCTGACTGATCATTCTAATCTCACCCTGAGTCACTTCCTCCAGGAGACCTTCCCTGGCCTTACACTGATTAAGATCTGTGCTGCCCTTAACTCCTCGGAGGCTGGGTCCGCATTAGTCTTGTACTTTACTGTATCCTCAGCAGTGCTCAGTAAACATTTGCTGAATGAATGAAACCATGAATATAAGGCTCCTTCCCTCCCTGCACCTCTGGCCATCCGCTTCTCCCTCAATACCTCGGAGGCCACACCGGAGACACGGGCACCTTCTATCTGTGAGCTGTTCTCACTATGCCCATGGTTCACCAGGACATCTGGGCTCCACTTGTTAGTGAACTCACTAAACACATCCCCAAAGGTCCTGAGCTCTGCTCTTCACCTCACTCAGCGGCCTCCTGGGCACCTTGAGCATCTCT